AAACCAGAGATCAATACTTAATAAAAATTTATGACCTTTTTTATTAGTAGTCGGAGAATATCAGTCCCACTAAAGTAATAAAAACCTTTAATTAAATTAATTTCTCTCTCAATGTTTGTGTTTTTTTGTGGCAAATGGTTGAGCCCTTCAGTACGGTATACAGTATTGTCGACTGGCATTCAATCTGTGATAATATTCCGCAAAATTCATAAAACGATTGTTACTTTAGTTTTTGCTGTCATTTGGTCTCTTCCGGCACACAATTTGCTCTCATTTTAATGATTATAAAAGTGTTTTTTCTCCATCTAATTATCACGTTATTTGCTGTAATCAATTTGATTACAATTCTTCTCTCAATTAGTGGCAAAACTAATGAAAATATGTTTGGTTTTTGTTTTGCGAGTAAAAAAGTCAACACAAGTTTATACACTCGGTATCGATAATTATGTACACCTCTTTTAACGAGTGTAGCTCTTAAACGGATCTTTCGATTTTTGATTTCTCTTCACTAAATTAAACAAAACCTCCCCAAAAGTTACCTCCATAAATGGTTTTAATATATATCAAAAATTTAGAGAGATAATCACAAAAATGTCCATTTTTACCATTTTTGTCATAAATATAACGTTAAATTCAACCTTATTTTAGAAGAAAATTATTAGACATATTACATGTTATTTTTAATGCTGATTCCGAATATGATATTAAAATTTTTGTATCTTGAATATTTTTCGAGTTATATGACTAACAGGATTTATAAATAATTTTTAAAGACAAAAAATCCGAAAATTATCTACTTCATTTTAAAACTACTATGATGATATTAACATGCAAAAAATTTAATGTTGTTAAGACTTGTAAAATCTTTGAAAATTTAATTTTAAAATTTTTGATAAAAACTTAACGTTGAATAACTCGAAAAATATTCAAGATACAAAAATTTTAATATTATATTCGGAATCAGCATTAAAAATAACATGTACTATGTTTAATAATTTTCTTCTAAAATAAGGTTGAATTTAACGTTATATCTATGACAAAAATGGTAAAAATGGACATTTTTGTGATTATCTCTCTAAATTTTTGATATATATTAAAACCATTTATGGAGCTAACTTTTGGGGAGTTTGTGTTTAATTTAGTGAAGAGAAATCAAAAATCGGAAGATCCGTTTAAGAGCTACACTCGTTATAAGAGGTGTACATAATTATCGATACCGAGTGTAGATAATGAGTGACACCAATATTGTATCATCTTAAAATAAAATTAACTTTATATGACGTTATGTTTTTAATAAAAAATAAATAAATAACAAAAATATATAACTTATAAAATCACATGCCAAGTTCATGATTCGTAAATATACTTTATAATTTATATAAATAATTTATAATTATTAATAAATATTGCAATATTTGAAAGTTTCCATCTATATCCTAGAGTACTTATTATTATAAACGAGTTTAATTGCACTTATATTAAGGTGAAATTTGGAAATCACATGCACTACTAAAAGCAGAATATTATACGTTTGTTACTGTGAGGGAATCTATAATCTGGGTAACAAATCTTTAATATTATAAAAGTAAAGTGCTTAATTTAAACTTTATACACCAGACCTCATCCAAAACAATGATTTATTTGTATATTATGTTTATTATTGTATATTTTAGTTGTATTTCATTAAATACTTTTACTTAAAATTTTAAGGACTAAATAAGTGCATGTATACTACTTACAGTATACTTTATGTCGACTATATGTATAGATTTTATTAGCCACAAACACCCCGATCACCTGATCAGCTTATGTTCGCTGATATTTACAGTGTATTTAATGATATAATATATATTGAAATTGTATATTGAATTTATATATTTGTCTGCAATATATTTTTCAAGTGATATATGCTTTCAATCAGATAACAGGGTCTCGTCATTAGACGTCAAATCGGACCGTAATGTATGCCATAGTCTATGATATAAAATGATCGAAAGCTCCCATCATTAGTTCACTTTACTGTTTTATTACATTATTGAATAGTTAATTTAAATTACAAAATTATATATTTAAATACTAATCTCTTATACAAAAGTAAGTAACAATTATTGAGCACATTAAATATATTTTCTATGTATTATATATTTGTGTTATATTACTTGTATGGGAATATCTTTAGAAGCTGTATTTATATAAAATATATTATGTTTTGGTATAAATGTAACTAGGTTGTAATTACAAAACTAATTAATTATTTAATTTTTACATCAGATGCGCGAAAACAAGTACAACGGAAACGGAGTTTTAAACGGCAATACACTGTCGGACGGCAAGACTGCCGACACTTTCCTATTCAGTTCCGAGTCTGTAGGCGAAGGACATCCGGGTATGTGTTTTATCATGTATTTTAATGGTATTTTACCACATATTTTATCTGTTGCTATACTTATGTACTTCAAATGCAAAGTCAGTGTTAGCAGTGTTAATTATATTTTTAGCGATTATTGGTTTAATAAAAATTATATTTTAAGTTCTACGCAATAAACTAAATATTATCATAATTTAATGGCTCTATCAATGTAGATTGTGTTTATAAAATATTCATAAAACCCTTTCATTAATGATCTTAGTAACAAATTTTGCACTATCCAAGGTTGTTTTTTGGTCCAACATGCATTTGATAATTACAACTATTCATTATCTGATTATTTAAAGAGAAAATACATAACAATTTATAACTATTACTTGTTTTCAACAATAGTTTCCATACAAATAATAAACATGTTTAAAATCCAATACCAAAAATATCTACAAAAAACAACTCAATAAAAAATAAAATCACATCACATGTAATAAATTGCAATAAGTAAACTAATTATTTGAAAAATATAATCTAGATAAACTATGCGACCAACTGAGCGATGCCATTCTGGACGCACACCTAAAACAGGACCCGCTCTCACGGGTCGCCTGCGAGACGGCCACCAAATCGGGTCAGATTGTAGTGTTGGGCGAAATCACATCCACAGCCAATGTGGACATTGAACAAGTGGTCAGAGACACTGTCAAGAGTATTGGCTACGATGATAAAAGCAAAGGTAATTTCATAATTGCATCTAACAATATGTTTAGACAATTTTGTCAGTACAACATATAATATATATTTAATCAGTTATTTGTGCAAATTTTACTAATAGTAAAAATCTAGCAATTTTATCATCTGTACACTCAGCAACTCACTATTTACTTAGAACATCATACAATTATCATATGTGTTTCGCAAATATACCCTAATCGTAATAATATTTATCTTTAAAAATCTACAAAGTTCATCAAACTTTCAATTAAACATTTATATATAATATTAATATTAATAAATACAAATATGTAACACAATAACAAACAAAACACATCATGTAAATGTAAATCACAATAATATTTAACTAGTAATAAACATAACCGCACAAACACTACCAATCACATAATTGCCAAAAACTAACCATAACAAAAAACTTTCTTGTAAACCATGTAGGTCTGGACTACAAAACAGCCAAAATCATGGTCTTACTGGACAAACAGGCGCAGGAGATCGCGTCGGGCGTTCACGTGGACCGGTCTGAGGATGATATTGGCGCCGGAGATCAGGGCCTTATGTTTGGTTACGCCACCGACGAGACGGACGAATGCATGCCATTGACAGTAGTCTTATCGCACAAACTGAACGAAAAACTCGGCGAACTTCGACGGGACGGCACCTTTCCCTGGTGTCGACCCGACTGCAAGACTCAGGTCACCTGCGAGTACTACTTTGACAACGGGCGCGCTGTGCCCACTCGGGTGCACACCGTTGTCGTCTCGACGCAACACTCGGAGGACATATCGCTGGACGAGTTGCGCAAAGAGATATTGGAAAAAGTGGTGCTTGAGGTGATACCGGCCAAGTACCTAGATGATCGTACCGTGTTTCACATTAACCCGTGCGGCTCGTTTCACATTGGGGGTCCGGCCAGCGATGCCGGCCTAACCGGGCGCAAAATCATCGTGGACACTTATGGCGGTTGGGGCGGCCACGGGGGCGGTGCATTCTCGGGCAAAGACTCGACCAAGGTGGATCGGTCGGCTGCGTACGCGGCCAGATGGGTGGCCAAGTCGCTGGTCAAGTCGGACCTATGTAAAAGATGCCTGGTGCAAGTGTCGTACGCTATTGGCATAGCCGAACCCTTGTCGATCACCGTGTTTGATTTTGGTACATCGGATAAAACTCAGCGCGAGCTTGTTCAGATTGTCAAGAACAATTTTGATCTGCGACCCGGCTTGATTATCCGCGAACTGGAGCTGACCAAGCCCATTTTCCAGGGCACCAGCCGTTATGGTCATTTTGGTCGTAAAGGTTTTACGTGGGAAGTGCCCAAACGTCTGGTGTTTTGACAAATTGTTGTGTCCGGTAGTGGTTGTGGTCATTTGTGTGGGTACAGTGGTGTTGTCCAGTTTGTATTTAACCAAGCAATTTTATTGTTTAATCTGAATTATTTATGTAATCAATTATGTTTAATAAATGATTTTGATATTGAAATTGTCAGGCATTAGTAATTAATGCCGCATTACTATTATTTTGATCTGAGTAAAAGTGGTGTAAAACACCGTATTACATTTGTAATTACAATTTGATTATTATTATTAATTACACAATTTTATAGTAAAAGCTTATGTCATAATAAACTTTTATATTGTATCATATATCAATTTTTGTATGAACTACACACTAAATTTGTAAATTAATTAAAATATAATTATTTAAATTTATACAGTATAAAACCAGTTCAGTCTACCCTGTTACTAAATATTTTTCTTATCAATAGTTAACGAAATTTTATGGTAAATAATTCATCTTTAATATGGCATACCTCACATAAATTTACTCTAGGTTTACCAGGAACAATTTTATTGTCAAAATGTCAAATTAATAATTTATTGATTTGTGATCTAGCCTAACTCTGAATATAACTAATTCTAATTCTTAATTTGTATTTATTTTACCAATTGGCATTTGCATACAAAGTTTACAAAATTACTAAACTTAAACTTAACGGCTAACAATGTACTGCAAATTATAATTTATAATTTAAAATGTACTCAATGTGTGCCAAGACTTACAAGAAAATTATCAAATATTATTAATCTGTTTATTACTAGAAATTAATAACTTGTTTGTATTGATTTGAGTAAACAATAGGGGTAGCAATAAATTGGGGAAAAGCGCTTCCTTAATATATAAGAGACAATTTTTGGTTTTTAAAACAAAGTGATAATTTTAGGTCCAAATATTATAGCCTTATAACTTATAAGTTATAAGCAATTTTAAAATAATGGTAGATTTTATATTACAATCGCCAGAAAGTCCGGCAAAACTTCAACATAAAACTATTGGCGAATATGTTTGGCATAAATTGTCTCAATTAGACAACGAGGCCGTGTGTTTGGTATGAATCTATCTTTCACCATAATTAACATAATTTATAAACTGTAAATTGTCACAGATATCTGTTAATAACACACTGTTACTAACTTCATGATAAATCTAGTTATTGAATTATTTTTTAACATTTCTGTAAAACTGACATTAAACTTAATACAACTAGTGTAAATAATTATAAAAATATTCTAACTACATAGATTGAAGCCAATAATGATCAACAGTTAACTGTAGCCGAACTGAGACAACTGTCCACAACCATAGCCCTGGGTCTGATTGGCCGGGGTGTGGAAAAGGGGGATATCATCGCATTTTACGGCCAAAACTCCATACAACACATAGTCCTGCGGTTCGCCACCTATTTCTTAGGCCTAACATTCGCGCCGTTGAGTCCCACGTTTGGTCCGCACGAGCTCCGGAAGGAGATCCAGATCATCGGCGCCACAGTCATCATCAGCTCCGGGCAGGAGCTGCACAAATTTGACACCATATTAACCAACGAGCAAAACAGCGTCATAAAACTCGTGGTAGTTTTCGATGGCACACACGACAGGCACCCAACCTATGATCAACTATTGACTGATACGTCAACGGACGGCACCGGTCTGTCCACACTATCGCAGATACCTTACTATGACGTAAACCCAGATGTGGACATGTTTTTCTTGATCCACACGTCCGGCAGCACCGGTAGACCAAAGTGCGGCCAAAATACCCCATTAGGCGATGCTATACCTGTGCCACGAGGAGGACATGTTTTTATCACTGGACGGCACCAATAGGCCAATAGCAGCGCTGCCCTTCTCGTACGTCCATATTTCGGGTGCACAGACACTGCCCCTATGGGTGTGTTGGGGCGCAACTGTTGTGATTTACACCAGGTTTACACCCAGTGGCGCGATCGCCTCCATTGAGAAGTACGGTATTACACACTTTCCGTGTTATCCGGCGTTTGGTCCCGAGTTTTTGACCGCAACTGCCGGCGCTCGTGACCTCTCAAGCCTTCGGGTCATTATCACGGGTGGCGCTAAGTTTCCCACTAATATAGCGATGGATATTATCAAAAAATATGGGGTCAGGTTTAGAGAAGGTATGGCACAGTTAGCTTGAAATAGGGAGTGAGTGAGCGCCACTGGGTGTAAACCTGGTGTAAATCACAACAGTTGCGCCCC